GGAAAATAAGTGATAATAAAGAAATTAGGGTTTTAGGTGATTTTGCAAGATGAAGAAAGGCAAGTCGAGCTCGGGCAGTAAGGTGGAGAGGAAAACGATCGAAAAGATTCGAAGGAATTTGATGAAGAATCTTTGCTCAAAGCTGGTTTCCATCATCCCCGATGACCATTTTAATCCAGGAAAGGTATATATGATATGATGCTCAAAGTTTAATTAGTTACAATGCCAAATTGTTAGTTAATTAATTAATTTTCTTAGTCAACATCATGAATAATTTAGTTTGTTAGGGAAAAAAAAAAGGGAAGCCCTACTCAGATTAGGGTTTTGCCTCTCCCTTGCCAATCCCTACATTCTCGATTTTGCAATCAAGTCAAGCATCACTAGTTTTTCTCGACCACCTTGAAACCGTTACGAATTTTGCGTAAAAAATATTTTTTTTATCGGGTTTGTAAGAAGTCTATAAGAAGGTTTAATTTTTTATTTTTTATTTTTTTCCATCTAAAAACAACACAAGCAATAACTAGTAAATTTAACACTAAATGTAATCTACGCACATCGGTCAGTATTTAGGCACGATGTAAAATGATCAAGTTCTACATTGTTTAGAAAACAATGTGATTTGATCAATTTTTACATCGGTTTTGCCCTTGTTTCGATTGATATACTCTTGTATTTTACCATTTTTTACAATCCATTCACTTTTTTACATGACGGGATATAAAACGGCTTGATAACCATTATAAATGTTGTTGTTTTCCATTTGATGTAACAAAATGTGTTTTCTGCATTAGTGTTCGATATTGTTTATGGAAATAGAAATTTGACTTCGTCGTTTGGTAATTATATGCATTTTATTGATCCAATTCGCGAAATTCCATCCGATCTAATAAAATGTTTTTTGTATTAGGGTTCAATTTTGTTTTAGCTTGGAAATAGAAATTAGACTTCATCTTTTTTGTATTTTATATGATGATCTTGGATCGATACAATATTTCACGAAATTTGTAAACATTGATACATTTTACAGTTGGGACTTGGGACAAACAAAAAACTTGTCTACTTACTCATCAAGCAAATGAACTTGTCTAAAAAAAAACCTTACAAGTAATAAAGAAAATCAAAATCAGTTAGGGTTCTAAAATTTTAACCAAGCAATTAATTAATTATATAAAATGTGATTTCCCAGTATCTTTTTTACTGCATAAAATAATTAACAATAAAACACATATCTTAGCTACATTCAATATATCAACACACAACCATATATATAGTAGAGCTTAAAAAACTTTCGTGTCGAAAAACAATGTGCGGCCATTAATTATGTGAACCTAACCTTAAAACTTTATTGTTACACATAAAATTTAGTTTCAATTAGTGAAAATTCTTAATTTTTTGGGGAATTTCCATGTACGAAAATTACGAAATATCTATTTTTTTTTTTATCTAGGGTTCTTTGTGATAAACTTAGGAACTTTTTGTGCTAATTCAAATTAAATGTATGAACACATTACAGGAGTTATTGTCCCAGCAAGACCAGCTGGGAAAAGCCACTGAGTACATCAAGCTTCAAACCGAAAAAATCGAGAACTTGAAAAAGAAGAAACAAGAGATGATGATGGCTCATCACACCAAAACCATAATTGGTAGCTCATCAACTAACTTTCCTCCGACTATGGAAATTGTCGAGTCGGGCTCGGGCTCGAGCTTGGAGGTGGTCTTGATTACTGGGCCCACCCAGAATTTTGTGGTGGGCCAAGTGATTGGCATACTTGAAGAAGAAGGAGCTCAAGTTGTCAACAGTTGGTTTTCCAGTGTTGGTGAAAGGATTTATCATACATTCCAAGCTCAGGTGATCATTATAATTATCATATTCTAGAATGTGTTAGAAGACTGCTTAATTTGAGGGATGATATACCCTATCATATATATATATATATATATAGGATGTGGTTCAAATGAGAACCAAGTCCTAGTGTGAGAACCGTGAGAACCGCTATTTTTAATTGTATGTAGTGCTATGATTAATTGTGTTTTAGTGCTATTTTTAACTAGGATGTATTTGATTAAAAATAGCAACAAAATTTTTATTAGCATTTATGAAAATGATAGCACCATGTAATATTAAAAATAGCATCATACACAATTAAAAATAGCATCAAATATGGTTCTCACGGTTCTCACACCAGACATAGTTTTTATTTGAACCAGCCCCTATATATATATATATATGATTGGGTTGAAATGAGACCAAGTTTTAATATGAGAACCATGAGAACTGTTGTTTTCAAGTATGTCTGGTGTTATGATTAAGTAGTAATATTAGTGAAATAGTCATTCTCATTTTGTAAAAAATAAAATATAGCCACTTTTTGTAGAAGTATGAATAATAGTCATTTTGCTCTGGCCAAGATAACATTTCCACACTTTATTAAGCTCATAACCATTTTTAGAGTTTCAGAAATGATTTCTAGTATTCATAAATAATTTCTAGTATTTCATAAATGATTTCTAGTGTTTTCTAAAATATTTAAATAGTATCTTGAATTATATAACTACTTTTTCGGATCCTAGAAATGATTTCTAGAACACATAAACAATGTCTTGAATTTTATAACTGATTTATGAAATTCTAGAATGAGTGTAAAAAATTATACAATATTTTCTTATTAAAAATTTTGTAGTAAGGGTAGTTGTGTCATTGCACTGGACAAAATAGTTACTATTCATACTTCCACAAAAAATGACTATATTTTATCTTTGTATTTGCTACTTGGCTATAAAACCAAGGCATTGTATGATTAATTCTAGTTGATACTGTTTTTAACCACGACTTATTTCATTTAGATCGAAAACAAAAGGTATAATAATAATATTTGTATAAATGATAGCATCGTGTAATATTAAAATAACATCATACACAATCAAAATTAGCATCTTATACGATTCTCACACACAAGAACTAATTTTTATTAGAAGCTGCAGTTATATATGTGTGTATAAAATGAGTCAAATTTCGTGGTATACTGGTGATTTTATATGTATGTACAAAATCAGTCAAATCTCGTTATATATAAGTTATTCTTTATTTCATACATGGCAGGTAAAAGTTCCAAGGGTTGGTGTTGATACCTCGAGCATAAGGGAAAGGATAATGAACTTGTTTTGATTAAACTTCAAAACGTGCTTATTTTGTAAAACCAAGTGGTATCATATTCCACATGTGGGCCACGTGATATATTCAAATATTTGTACTTTCTCTCATATTTTCATTTTATCAATGTATTATTACACAATACATTTTAAGTTGCGTCTTTAATTGGTGTATTCTGCTTTTGTCCACATGATTGTACATTTGAATATGAAATAAAGCGCTATTGGATCAATATTCCTTCAAGATATATTCTCATTTGGATGCGTACTTTCATGTATGTATACAATATATTCCCGTTTGTTCAAAAAAATAATTACAAATAATCTGTGCGTACGTTCATTTTTGTATGTTATGCATTACCATTTTTTTTACAAAATTACATATGATTTACGCATATTCCATTTCATATTCTACGATTATATGGTGGAATTCTGTTCTAGCACTTCCATAATATAATCCATAAATCATGCTTAAACTTTGAGTGGCAACTAACTTGGTAAATGTTGTCTACGTCATCATGCTCATCACTGTAGTAGGATAAAATATAAATTCACAAAAATTGAATTAGTAACTTTCTAATATTTGATATGTAGTATAAATGGATCTATAAATCTATGTACAAGTGAAAGTAAAGGATGTGATTTTATGGGTTATTAAATATTAATTACAAAAGGCAGCAAACCTTGACAAATTAAATAATAAATTAAAAATATAAAATATGATGAATTTGAACAAAAACAGAGCACTCCTGGGTTTGTCCATCAATATATATTAATAATAAGTTCAGTTCTTTATAACTTATAAGACTACCTTGAAGAGCTATGAGATCCATGCAAGAACTAGTAAGAATCATTGTTCATAGCTTCATATGCCATTGCTCGATTTTCCAAATATCCACTCGAAAGAACAAAAGGAAGAACATAATTCCGAGTTCGCCCATGTGGACAAAAAAAAATGTCTCTGACCTGAAAAAGAAAATGGCATGATGTCGCAAATTAATTTGGGGCCATGATTTTCAAGCAACTTTCATTTCTAGGAGAAAAAATGCAAAGTTAATTATGTCAAGAATTATGAGATGTTTTTCTTCTTACCTGTTGATTGGAAGTTAACGTAACCCGTGTGGATTGAAATGTTTTCTTCAGAAAAATAAATCAGCCTTCATTCACAGGCCACTTTGAGTAGCTCATCCCATGTAGTAAGCTTTTCTCGAGGTTTATTTTTCAAACTCCCGCGCCTTTTCTCTTCAAGATTGATTTTTTCCCAGCCATCAAATGTTACGACTTTGGTATTCCTACAGTCTAGTAAGTGCATAAGTCCTTCTTTCCCGGGCTTTGGTGAGTTTAACAATCCTTTCTCAATATCGGCTGAGATGCATGCAAGCTGCCAAATATGTTTTTTCTCGTGAATCAAAAGACCTCATCATAAAAAACTACACAAATATTTAGTCTAAAAAGAGGTGATTTTCCATTCCAATTATAGATTTTCCCCTAGAGAGCTTTCAATTCATGTTTATTCATAACCAATCACCTCCATTTTGAGAAAGCAATTTGTCAAAGGTTTATCTTAAATTTTGAAAAAGGAGATGGCTATTTCACAAAGAGAATGAACATAAATAGTAAATAGTCGTTTTTGCATTTAAATATAATTAAGCATCATTTTCACTTTATGAAGAGTTTTACACACTCACTGTTTCCTCGGCACAATAAAGGTTTGTAGCAATAATTCCTGTTGGCCCTCTCTTTAACCATCCACACACATATAAGCCAGTTTCGTATTGCATGTGATCTTGTGAAGCATCAACCAACACACGGCCTCCATGATTTGAAACAATTCCTGTAAAAAAACCTAGATAAACATGGCCTATTTTGTACAAAGTTCCATACTTGAAGAAATTGAAGAGAAATCAAACATGTGAAAACAATCGAGAAATAAAAATTTAAACTTGGCCGTTTTAATAGAAATAAAGAAAATAAGAGATAAAATTTCATTAGGCAGTACATTAAAAAAAAAAAGAAAAGAAATGCAAAACTGAAATTTCACTCGCAATTTCTCCATTACCTTTGTAGTTATCAAAAGGTAAACCATCAATGGGTACTGACTTGTAACCTATACTCTTCAGCGCTAACCTACAAAACAACCGTCAAATATAACCACATAAAAATTGCTTTGCAATATCACCTAATTATGTTAGAAGAAAGGAAAAACAGAAGCTTGGTGATTAATTCACCTTCCAGCAATTGATCAATTAGTCACTGTATGAACCAAACCAAATATCTATTCCATTCAACTTCCTATTTATCTTTTACATTTCCTTTCTTTTTATTTTTCGTCTACCTATAAATAGGTTGCAGATTGCCACACACACAACCACCTCAACCTCTCAGTTCTAGACATTAGAAAGGTTTTCACTTATATATATTCGTATATACATCATAAAACAAGCTGAAGCAATAAATATTTAAATCGAAACATAAAATCCCATGGAAAAACAAAAAAATTGTAAATAAATATCAGAATATTAGCAGGCATATTAATGTTGAGTTCAGTATAACTTGCCTGCATGACACATCCTCATATACCCCTGTACCAACTGCAACTTGCTTCAATTCATCATCTCCTACAATAAAGCTAAAAAATATTATAGAGGGGTAAAATATTTACATGTGCGCCCTCAACTGTACTTTTGAATAAACTTATTTTTTCCAAAATGATATACATCCATACATCAGCGGAATAATTTAGGCATTTTCCCATTATATCAGATCTAGTTCCAAAATCGTAACCTAACAGCATAAAAAATGAAGCATGTGGGAGAAAGTATTAGTTCTTACAGTCAGTAAGAATGTAGAATAAGTTTCTATGGAGAAGATATACCTTTTAGAACAGTCTTCTCAAGCCGAACACTACCATGATGACCATTCTTATCATCAGATTCAAGAAATCTCTCTGGCTTGCGGAAAAATACAAAGTGGAGTTCGTGTTGACAAGGAACAGGTGCATGCCCCAAGCTTGCTGCCTTCGAGAGCAATTCGTAAACCCGCCTCCTGATCCTGTTATTCTTCATTTCTATCTTTTCCCAAGTAATGGTGTCAAGAACATTAAATCAGTTTTGTGGAAAGCTTGAAACATACAATTATAAAAATTGACCCCTAAGGCCTGTATAATTACAAGAAAAAACTAGTTCTCGTTCAGAATTACGAAAACACACTTCAGTCTTACAAAGAACTCATTGAAAATTTGCAATGTATCGTTTGTTTGTTCTACAAATATCCCAAACTAATGGTCTACAAAAATTGACTCCAAGGGTGTAAGATAATGGGACTTTTCTGTCATTAGGCCAAACCTCAATACTACGGCACTACCCCTAAGTTAAATTCTCATCAACAGAGGACACTTCTAAATTGCGTATGATCGTAATTCGTAAACATATGTAACAGTTAAAAGTGTACCTCATCAGCAGGTGTTGTAACTAAATCATCTTGTTGGATGTGAACACTCAGATCCTTGATTCCTGCACGAGAGTGTATCAGATTTACATGAAACCTTATCATTAATCTCCAACTCCATTAATTAGAGAGATCCAAATAACAATCAATGAATTCCAAAATTAGTACCATATCAGAACCAACATATACATAATCACCTTCATTGTAAAGGACATGAGAAATCACAAAATAAGTCTGTCGAACAAAGGAGGAAACTCACCCAATATTTCTCGTAATTCTTTAGCAGTACAGGCTGCTTGTACTGGTCCGCGTCTTCCAACCAAATAAACTTTCCTGACAATTACAATTGTTAATTTATAAATGAAGATTATGCTTTAAAGCCGTTTGTTGTTAAATGTTACACTGCAAATCACAAACCTTATACAGCTCTCTTCTAAAGCATCCAATGCATGAGATGCTATATCTGTTTCTGCTAATTCTGCTGTTGGCCGCAAGAGAATTCGAGCTACATCAAGAGCCACATTACCCTAAAAGCAAGTACAATGTCAACACATTTGAGAAGTTCTCTCATTTTGGACTTCTTTCTGTTGAACCATTGGCATGCCTCAGCTTCTATTCCCACTAGAAACAATCTTAGTGAACGTGCGCTGGGTAAAATGACCATCTTATAGATGTATGCTTTCCCAAACAACATTTGAAATAGATACAAGTTACAACCCATATCACTTACAATTACAACATTAGATACAGTGATATACAACATTTTTTCGACAATCCTAGAAAAAGATGATATCTAGTATACTTCTCATGATATAACTCACTTTCCTCGCAAAATATCTTCCACTTTCTTCTTATGGTTCTTGAAATATGTAATGCTCATGTGGTAAAATAAACATCCTTTTGTCCAATATCTACAATTCCCAATTTTTTTCCTCGACATTCCAATAAAACACCACTTCATGAAAATATCTGCTTTTTTACCCCCAAATCATGCCACTTGGTTCAATTTAACCATCATGCATGACAAACAACACATGAATCAAATATACCTGACCGAGAATAACAGCAGTATCTGAGCTTTTCAGATCTGGGGCAAGATTTTTATAGTCTGGGTGCCCATTGTACCACCAAACAAACTCTCTGGCAGCATATACACCAGCCAAACCCTGCATTGAGTTAAACAATATATATATTAAAAAAAATATTAAAAAAAAACCTTATATAATATATTTACAGAAATCACAAGACCAATGGAATGAATCATCTTAATTCTAAGAAGACAGCAATCGCGTTTGCAAACCTCCCCAGGAATGCCAAGAGATCTATCACTTTCAGCGCCATATGCGAGCACCACCTACACAATATCAAGGGTCAGAGGAATGGGAAATTCAATACAAACAGCGAGACAATTATCTAGGACAAATATCCTGTGTAGGACGACTATCTTACTGCATTATACATCTCACGTAGCTCAGCCAAAGTTATGGAGGATCCAAGAGACACATTTCCAAAGAATGAACAACGTTCATTACGTGCAACCCGAGTAAACTGATTTGTGACTATCTGTGGCAAAGTTTCTGAAGAATTGAGTCCATAAGAGAATAATAAGAAAATAGAAAAACATAAGCAGTATCTATGACCAGAAGAATGAACACGTGTATATAACATTTGACACTCTCTCATTCGACCATAAGCTGGAACTCGCAGCATAATAGATATCTCTATCGCCATAAATCAATTATCTATAAACATAAAACTGCATTTATTTCAAAGGCGTATTTTGTGCATATCCTGCTGAGGGACAAAAATTTCAAATCCAAACAACTGTGTTGGATAGTACTGCTTGCCTAGAGAATCATAAAGTTTGAAAGCATTTAAAATTTCTGGCCAACTCCATAATCATATGTCCAAATTGGCACTCAGATCTCAGCTTTCGGCAAACATATATTTGCATTCTTCTTTAAATAGATAAATGAAATAATGAACGGATGACCTTGGTTTCAGGATGGTCAGGAGCGACGCCAGACCGGACTAGTCCAAATGGCGTGGGCAGTCGATCAATTATATCAACTTCTGCCGTTTCATGTGTCTTCAAAAGCTAGCAAAATTCATAAATTCCATAAGAAGGAGATAACTTCACTTAGTAGTCATGGAAATCATGATTTGTCTAAGAAATTTATCAAACAGTAGAAAATTTGCATTGAAAAAAATCCAGAAACTTATGTATACCTTCTCGGCAGTATAAAATCCTGCTGGCCCACTACCAACAACACAAATGCGTAAAGGACTAGAGGAGAGGGTGCTAAATCTCTTAGAAATCAACCTTAATTTCCCAAAGCTCCACATGTTTTCATTGATTGAAGAGATGCATTAGTCACCTGGACGGCCATGTAGGTTATTAGGCACAAGGAGACATTCGGGAAATTTTCCCCCAAACTTGGGTTGGGTAAAATAAGACAGATATCACAAGAAAGTTTAATCAGAATTTTTTTTTTTGTTTAACTATCATAAAACTCTTGGAGGTATGACAAATAAGATCAAATTGAACTATCCTGCAAACGTAAAAAGAAGTATTCAATCCAAAACCTCGCAATTTATACTAATTACACAAAGCTAAAAGAATTCTATCACATATCACAACATCAGCAAAGCAATTAACCATTAACCATTCAAGATATTTAAGAACCAATAAAAAAAAAAAATCAAAATCAGTCCTCAGCTCGTTGACATCAAACTTTTTGCTCAAAAACAATTAAAAACCCTCTCCTTCTACATGTCAATACCGTCATAACAAAATTCATATTTCACAAGCAATTTCAGATTTTGCCAACTGGGCAGCTAAAGACAATCAGGACTAGGATTTTAATTCTTTGGATCTTCAACAATTACACCAAGTTTGTCGTCAGTTTGCCTCAACACCAAAAAAGTACCGACAGCATGCAATAAAAACAACATTAAGTTCCGAATTCAAAAATCACCACACAAAGACCACACTTTTGGAGTTAGAGGCTCGCACAAAGTAACATCATATTGGCAATATTGGCACAACTGGGAAACTGAGTAGAAAATGGAGCTAGAGGCTCGCACAAAGTAACATCATATTCAACCGACGAAAGAATTCAAATTCTGCTAGCAAGGTTTCAAGCAGATGCCACATAAACTTCTTTGAATTCACAGAATATGTATGCAACGCTTTACCAATATCAGGTCAACCTAGAGTGCAGGACAATCGCAAACCCTTGGTTGATTTCCTAAGCTCTCGAACTTTGGGGTTTTCTCGATGAGGGACGAGAGTGGAGGTCGACGGCAGAGAGCGGAAGTCGAGCGGCGAATGACATGTAAAATGGTGTTAGGCAGCCAGGTAAGGGATGACATGTAATTTTTGTATCAAATGAGGGTATTATGGTCTAAAAATAAAAATTAAGAGGGACAAATCAGACATTAATGCCAAAGTACTGTCACATAACTGTGAGCTGTGATTGTGGCTTTTGAATGAAGCGCCTCCGCCGCCGCCGACGCCTAGAACTGTGAGCTGCGGTAAGCCGGTAAGGCCTCATTTACTTTCATGGACAAGATTAGACAAAATAATCCAGCCAACTTTACACGTCAGGTGTCCTATGTTTACATTATGGGATTAAAAATTGTGAAACTTGTCAAGCATTTACTTTGTTGGATTAAATTAGAAGATAACACCTGAAATGTCCAAATTGCCCTTCTATTCATAAAAAATGCAACTATATGCTCGGGAGTCTATTATCACCCTCTTTAAAAAATTTGTGTGGAACCCTAATTTGAGGCAACAGGCGAGGACGAGAACATCGAAGACGGAGACAACCTGGGCCCCAACGACATTCCTCAGTTCACCGGCTTTTGGAGTCGACGACGTCATTCCGAGGACGACGAGGTTACGGCTATCTCCGGGACGGTTGTTGAAGCAGGGTCTTTCCGACGGTGTTTGGACATAAATCAGAGGACGACGACTGCAAATCGGAGTTCTGGGCTTGTATAAGTTGTGAAATATTTTAGTGGCTTGTGAAATATTTTAGTGGATTGCGAAAAAACAAAATCAAAGCCCTAATTCGTGAGCTACACAAATTCTCGCAACACATTAACATGTCGCTGCAAATCTATGGCAAAGTGCACAGAAGACGGAAAATTTAAAGCAT